GCTTCAAGAAATTCTGTATTCTGGTTCAACCACACACAAAGTAAGAGATGAGAGGGGGGAGGTATACAATGACAAATTACTTGTCAAACTACATCCTTGTCCATGCCTTAATTTGCTAAGATTTATAAAAACATAGCTTGGCATTTCAGAAAGAAAAATTTCTTTCCCCCTCTCCCCCGCTATCTAAAACTTAAGTCTTCCATAATACAGGCTCTGAGTGAAAATTATGACCACCTGTAAGACTGTGTTTCTCTCTGCTACTGCGGGAACTGTTAACCACAGTGAACTCAGTAACTGTGGATCTAGACTTTGCAGGATGTATCTCAAAAGAGCTAGAAAGACCTGGTGTAATTTGACGAATTGACAAAACTGAATTGACAAAAGAATTTCCCTTCTGGAAAGAAAACAAGCTGCTTCTGAAAAGCCATCCAGGGCACTATCTCAATCTATGCAATTCTAAAGGAACTTCACCAATATGTACAGAATTAAATACCTATTATATTTTCAATAGCTGCCTGAGGGATGCCTGAAGCAGGAAGACACTAAACAATCCAGAGTTTTGGTAGTGGCAGAGGAAGAAGATTTTTCTATCAGTCTACTGTTCTGCTAGAGATTGTCAAAGGCCTGGCTACAGATCTTGAGCAGGTTAAAAAAAGTTCAGTTAACCTGCATTTTCTGCCTTAGATTTCAGGCAACTACTTCTGAAATGCCAGAATGTCAGAAGGTATTTTAAAAATAAAAATTAAATTGCACTGTCTCAACTATGTGGTGGCAACATGAAATGACTGTTTCAATTTTTATATGTAAATAACATTTATGCCACCCCTAGGAATCTGCTTTAAAGGCCAAAGCCAACAATCAGAAGTTATTTGCACTAACCAACCAATAAAACACTTGCTGAATTGTATTTCTCTTGGAACCTGTGATGTATACTACAGTGGTATACAGTAATCTTCCTGACTACAACACATTCAGTAACACAGTTCTTAGTAAAAGAAGGGAGAAATTAGTGACACCCAATTGCTGGAACAAACAATTACATCCATGCCAAAGCACACATGTCTAAGCTGGCTACCAGTGTGACATTCGATTTTAAATTGTAGGTCACAAATTGAACATACTCTCCTCATTACTCACTTAATGCTTAGAAATCTTCTATAATCTATTTTTAAAGTCTTCCTTTGTGTGCTGGATAAGAACTTAATTTAAGGGATTTCTTCATAATCTGGAGGTAGAACTTTAATGTACACTTAGAAAACCACAGCTGGCAGCAAGAACAACAAGCTAGTTGTCAAAGCAGCTTTCAGAGACAGAGCCTATGCAAAAGGCAAACATCTGAAATAGAGTTCTGATATCCCAGAAAACTACTGTAGCTTAACAAGGCACATCCATCATAGGTACTGTAACAGCTGACTGCAGATACGTTTAGAGCCTGTGGCTAATGGAAAGCATTCCTTACCGGCATTTGAGCCATCAGCTGGATCAACTGAGCCTCAAAAGGCTCATCATTTCCCCTGTTCAGATACGCTGAGACAAGGACTCCTGCCAATACTCCTACTGAATGTCTCTTACTAGTTTTAAATTGACACACTTGATTCAAGCAATTCCACCTAAAGGCAATTGTGGAAAATATTCAAATACTTGGTTCTATAGAGGAATAAAATCAAAAGACTAACAATTCAGGATGTTATCACCAAATGTTAAGTGATATCCCTCTTTTATGCTACGGAAGAGGGAATTACTTCATCTAAACTATAATGAAACGTAGAAATTGGAAATGAATGTCCATTTAGGTGGCTTTGTGCGAAAATGCAAGGAAAATACAATTTGCTTAATAAACTGCTAGCACATTTGAAACTGTGTTTCATCATAATCCCCATTAAAGACTCTTTTAGGCACAGTTTCACCAATATAGTACCTTTAACACAAATCATTCAAGTACTGCAGTGTTCCCTCACCAGAGAAGAAATTTTCAATAAGCATTTGAAATGCAGGATTTCTGACAGAAAAGGCAGAAACTACCACTCATGGAAGCACAAATTTATACAGGTTCTTAAAGGATGTGATGTTTTAGCATTTAATGTTATATAATGCATATAACACTGGTACTAAAAGAGGAAAAAATCTTTTCCCTCCTCATTAATACAGCTGTGTCAACAGAAACATGCCACATGATGTGTGATCCTTCCCCTGTGTCCTTGTGCTTTACTTTGACACAGATCAGGAGATTAGCTCCTGGCATACCCACCAGGCAATTTAGATATGTCTTCTGTGGCTGTAACGCTCCCCACATCAACACTGTCAGTGTCCAGCTTGAGAAAAGAGGTTTTCTCTTTAAACAAGGACAGGGAACTTGTGCCACAGAGATGACCCACTGTGTAATTCAGTCAGCTCCTGCAGCTCACTTTTGCCAAGAGACCCCTGAGTACCTTTCCACTAAGCCTGCTGGACATGGGAGCTGAAGGGCCTTACCAGTAAAGCTGCATCAACTAAAAGTCCTGAGCATAGATCTACTCACCAGGCACCAAAAAAGGTTGAACAGCAAAGCCCTGGGCTTGGAGGTAGAAATAGTAGCTGAGGTATTGCCACTTAAACCTTTTGATGCTCTCTCTCTAACCACCTCAGGAATTCTTACTCCCCTAAGGATTCTCCAGCATGAAAGACATTTCTTTTTTTGGTCTTTATCCAGCAAATAAAAGACACTTTCCAGGATTTTGGACAAATCAAATGTACGTTTTAATGCATTCATTTTTCTGAAATCCTTTTGCTCTTTAGGATAGAAGTGTTCAATTACTGTGTATATTTTGGGGCTATTCCTTAAAGAAATGGCCAAAGACAGGTAACACTTTTAAAACAGTGAGAGTTAAGCCAAGTACAAAAGTACTATTGTAATAATGAGCAATTTCAATACTATAGCTGTAATGGGAAGTTCCAGGAACATGGTTAAACTAAATTCTGCTTGGCTCAGAGCCATGCAAATACTTCTTTTCCATATTCCCATCAATTACAGAAGTACAGTAAGTGTTTTTATGCTTAAGTGCACTATTACAGGGGACACAAATAAGCCATTTTTCTTCCAGTGTTTGGAGCTAACATTTCTATAATATCATATTACACATTTGGCAGACTTGAAGCATGCTCAGATTTTTACTTGCGTTGCATTAGTAAGCCATACCATTTGAATCAACTGAAAATGGGTAGTATAACTGCACGTCCTAACCAGACTACACATGTCTACAGTGGTCATAGAGTTGTTTTTACTTCATACTGGCTACTTGGGAAAGCAGCCATCATGAGCAGAGAACAATTATTGTTAAATGTTTGCAGGCAAACAATAGCAGATACATACCATGAAGGAAGTCTTTTAATAAAAAATACAGTTGCCATTTTAAATCCATGCTTTACATTGACAAATCTATACTGAGACTTTATTAGGAAAATTAATAACCTTACTAATAAAGAAAAGCTAACCAGAGGTATGCAAACACTTAACACACTTAGAGCGAAATATATCACCCTCACAAACACTGCCTTCCATCACTGATAAAGTCTATCAAAATGTTAAAGCACTACAGAAGTGCAATGTACTCTCTCACTGCGTATCAGCTGTAGTCTGTGTGCATCACGCATGCTTATGTCTCCCCTTGCAGAAGCTCCAAACCATAGCATGAGTGTGTTAGGACAAAAAGGATAAAACCAAAATAAAGCACTTTCTGAAGCTTCCAGTCCCATGTGGAGTGCACAACAAAGATGCATCAGAAGTGCAGGTCAGTGAGTTTTTATAACACTAGTATAAAAAACTAAATGTCCTATGGAATTAATTATTATCATCTCACAAAAAATTATTAACAGAAATCACATTTCCATGCTCAACTCTCTGATTCATATGACCATCTTAGAAAAGAAATCAAGGTATTTCACTAAGAGTTAGATATCACATTCATATTCTGTGTGTTCTCACCAATCCTTTATATACAGAGTGTGTAAAGTATCTGACCATACAAAGATGGCGCCTATGCAGATAGGAATGTTGGGGAATACAGTTCCATTCTCTTCCAGGCAAACTGGTAAACTCCAAGAACTGAAACCTTACACATCAGACTGCTACTGGCAGGAGATTTCTGACCCACGTAAGAATGACTGTGAGATAACTGTGGCAGTTAGAAATTATTAAATGTGAAATTACTAACATGTTGATCCAGGAAGACAGCATGGTTTTGTGGACAGCTTTATGGTTCAGTTAAAATTGATCTCAACTGCAGTATTAAAAACTGTAGAATTATCATATCTGCACATATTACAGTTAGCACAATTAAGAGTTAAAATAGGTTAAGGCTCTCACATATTTCTTTCTGTACTGCAATTCTGTTAGGTTTTATTGGCAATAATTTGCATGGTAGAACTACGCACAGACCCTTATTTTATTATTATCTTTAATGTGGAAAGGCAACTATTACCCCAAACCCCTCCTGCACACCCAGCTGAAGAAAGATTTACTCCATCTAACAAACAGTTATAAAATTTAGCCTTCCTTCACAGTGGCAAAAACAGCAAAGGCAAGGCAACAACTCTTTTGAATGCTGAAGAGCAGCAATGCTAAGAGAGTTCATAGGCACTTGAAGTGACCTTTAAAGAAGTCTTTAAAGTCTCCTACTCTGGAAAACTGGTCTCGAGTACTTAAAAACATAACCATTTCCTGGGTGCTGAAAGCACCGATCTAGCTAGGCCACATGAGGTAGTTCTGATTCACTGTTCTCCTTTCCATTACATTCCTAAAATTCAAGCAGTGAAAAAACTCTGATCTCCACTATGACAGCACACAAAGAAAGCGTCTGTACCCTATTTTGACCCCTCTTTCTGAGACAGGAGTAGAACAGTATTTTCAGACAGAAGGACTGCAACACATTAGTGTTTACAAGAGCTGATACGATGGGATCTCAGCAGTATAACATCATAGCCCTCTGGTTGTAGATGACATATGAGAAAGCATATGGACTTACTGACAATTCTTTGATTAACTTTCTTAGTTCCTTGTGTCCATGCTTCTCTGCGATACTTTCTGGATCATCTCCATACTTATTGGTTATTTTGCAAGCCCATGTGGCCTCAGGACAACTGAGTAGAAACATTGCAAGGTTCTTTAATCCAAATCTGGCTGCACAGTGAAGGAGAGTAGGAAATTCTTCCAAATGGCTATCTGTATATGGAAACAAAGTCTTCATGAAGAACAGTTTTGCTTTAATAGAACATCTTTCACAAAAGTCCTCTGGAATATTAGTGCTATGGAATCATAGTTATCAAACTGCCAATACAGAACTAGCATCCAAAGAACAATTTTTCCAATTAACAGTTTTACAATTCATATATCAATAAAAGAGCATTTAACGTAACTGAGAAATCTCATTTTTTGCTGACAGAGGGATTTGAAAGCCCTTTAGTTCTATTGAGAAATAAGATTTCTTGCAAAGGGAAAAAAATCCCATAGCCAAGACATGCTTTTGCTTAGGTGGAATATTTTTAATTTAAGACATTTGAATGGGACATTTTTATAGGTTTATGGTGCTATGTTTGATATTAAAAACCATTTCTGAAAATTCGCATGAATACCAGAGACTTCCAAAAATTTGCCTATCCCTATAATGAACAATCACAGAACTTAAAAATGAATGTATTGGATAAGTTTTTCGGATTTATCTGATATAACATGACATCAATTTCCATCACAGACTACTTTTTACCTTGGAGGACTGGGACAGTCAGTTTATCATTTCATCAGTCCTGTATTTTAACTCTATGAGTGACCACAAATTACATATACCAACAAACAAACAAAATAGAGGTTTCAAACATAAACAATACTTCTCTCTGCCTTTATACTCTACTTTCTAATCACTTGTGGTTTGTTGCGTACCAATTTGTCTGTATATCAGCATGCAGTGTATCTCTTCTCCAAGCGTGCATCCAGCCTGCCCCACGCACCACCAGTTTCATGCACACTGAGGGTCTTTATTACCCATTGCATGAAGGAGTGCCTCCTCTAGTCTGTTTTGAACCTGGTTCCTGGCTCATTCAATTGACTGCCCCTAATTCATCTTACTCTCCACCTCTGTCTGCCCTCTCTGCAATTCTAGTGATTTACACATTCCCAGAATTTTTTCTTGAAGGGCTCCGGTCTAGTTAATTGGGCCTTATAGAGGACCAACTCCATCACCCACACTGCTCTCTCCTGAACCTTTTCCAGCTTTAATGTAACCATTTTAAGACGACAGCAGAAGAGCTGCACATGATACTCAACTTGCGGGTGAGCCGTGTAATTTATGCATTGCCATAATTATGCCCTGTTTTGTTCTCTATTCCTTTTCTAATAATTCCTAGTATTTCATTAGCTTTTTGATCTGCTGCCTAGCAACAAGTTGATGTTATCATGGAGCTGCGCAGTCTTATTCCTCAGTGCTAATAGCCTGCTCAAACCTTCTCATTTTGTATGACAACACAGGACTGCTTTTTCCACTTGCAGCACTTTGTTTTTACCTAGAATGAGTATCATCTCACATTTTACTGCATAATTACTAAATCTCTCATTCCTACCCCTCTCCTCCCCCATTAGCCCTCCTCCTTGCTACCCTGAATACCTTCTATCACCAGAAAAAAAAGATTTTTCCCAACTGTCTGTCTCCTGGTTTTGGTCAGTTATTCATCCATGCCCAGTCAATTACTGACTTAATCAGGTTTGCTGACTTACAAAAAACTGCAAGAAATCTATAAAGCCAGACTTCACATTACAGCAAATGTATTTTATTAAAATTTCTATTAATTAGTCTGGTAGAGAGAACACATTAACCTGCTTCTAGTTCTCAATGTCCCCTGAGAAACTGGGTTTTAGCATCATAGTCACACCTTCCAGTACTACAAAACTGAAAAATTCCACACTACTATTACAAATCCAGCTATTTTATTTTAAAATTTCCTCAGAGCTCTTAACGAATGAGAGTTAGTCCCAGTAATTTCTTTGTGTACAACCTGACCATTTTTGCTACAGCCTCATGATTCCTTCAACTCCAGTCTCTTTCCATACGTCTCAAAACCAGGACTACAGCTTGAGAATCTAGACAGTTTCTTCTAGCTTTCTTGAGTTTTCTTTTATATCCTAGTCATTGGTTGTCCTACAGGCTAGCCAGCACATTATCAACCCTTAGTGTGCTGGAAGAAAGTCTAGGTACTAATGTTGCCTTTTGGAATTCTCTTAGCTGCCAGTCTTTAACAAAAACTTTCTCATTTTTACATTCTTCCGCATACTAAACTTTGGCTCAGCAGTGGTGAATCTGTGTACCTCCCCTCCTTACTCCTTTATTGCTCCTGCAGAATGGTAATACAGCAGAGAGTGAAACCTCACTCCATCATTAGATATAAGGATTCAAGGAACAAGAGGAGTTCCTGGAATAGTCATAGCTAAGTACTGACTGACCAAAAAAATAGTTAGGACAACTCTTGACTGTATTTTGGACAAAGAATATTCCTCCAGTATCACTCCAATATTATTTTGCCACAAGGAATTTGAGCGGACTACATTTTAGTCAAAAGCCCCATTAACAACCCTAACTTTATCTTTAAACAAATTGAGTGTTGTCTGACTTAGTTCCACCAGGCAAAGAAAAATCTAACCAAGAAACTGTAAATACACAACACCTGCATAAATCAAGTCACTTGTTTCAGAAGCCTTGGCAGGCTGAGCTTCCATCAACAAGGTTATGTATTGTAGCTTATATTCCTTTGTATTTGCAGTGTGCTTTAAAATCCTTTGAGCTACAACAGGCAATCCTAAAACTGTATATAATCTCAGTTTTTTGAGAGAAGTAGGTGCCACACAATTTCTTTGCTCCATATTATTTATAAACTAGGATTAATTCTGAAATCTGAAGAACTATAAATTTTACCACAGAGTATAGGCATTTGACTTCTTATTTTTATCTATACTTTTCCAGCTGCAGGGAAACACTAACCCCCCCATCACGGACTGAGGCAAATATATAGCAAACTAAGTGGCTGTCACATGAGCAGTAAAAATGTATGCAAGTAATTCTAAGGCTGGAGTAATTTACATGAACCCTAATCAATAGTTTTCACCCTGCTAGCAGACATGAGAAGGTTAAATACAGTCATTAAAAAGAGGCTTGACAAAGTATTAATAACATGTTCCAAAAGAATTTCCACTCATACTAATGAAACCTAAAATAATTGGTTACAAATCTGAAAGGGGAAACAAGTCTATATTACCAATAGACTGGATGCTATGATTTCTTCAACACAAAGAGAAGAAGAGTAGGTGGCATTCATAAGCCTGCTCTGGGCTTATATGTTCATTTTTAAAGTAACACAAAACAGAGGTATTCCAAAATCCCTTGGGTTCCTTTGCACTTGAGGTGTTTTTCCTGGTCACCACTCAACTCCTTCCTAGCCAGGTTTGATATTCAACCGGGACTCCTACACTTACATTCTTTGAACATTACAGAGACTACATCATTAGGAAACTAAATACCTCTGCCAGCCATAGAGGATGTAAAAATCAATAAATCAATTTCATAAACCAAACCTTTTTTTATATTGCTCCCTGTAGTAAGCAGAAAAAAAAGGCTGTTGTTAGGTAGGAATACTTTAAAAGCCATACAGCAGTGCCCAAAACTGTACACAATATTCAAGGTGAGGCTGTACCAGTGCAGAGCAGAGCAGGACAATCCCCTCTCTCGACTGGCTGGCGATGCTTTGCCTGATGTCCCCAGGACACGGTTGGCCCTCCTGGCTGCCAGGGCACTGCTGACTCAGATTCAACTTGCCGTCGAGCAGCTGCTTTCCAGCCCCAGTCTGTATGAACATCCAGGGTTGCCCCATCCCAGATGCAGAATCTGGCACTGTCCCTTGTAGGACGTCACATGGTTGGCGATTGCCCAGTTCTCTAATTTGTCGAGGTCTCTCTGCAGGGCCTCCCTGCCTCTGAGGGAGTCAACAGCTCCTCCCAGTTTTGTGTCATCTGCAAACTTGTTCAGTATCCCTTTCAGTCCTGTGTCTAAGTCATTTATGAAGCTGTTGAAGAGCACAGGGCCCAAGATGGAGCCCTGTGGAACCCCACTAGTGACAGGTCACCAGTCTGATATCACCCCATTCACTGCTACGCTCTGTGCTCGACGCCTGAGCCAACTGCTCACCTACCACATGATGTGTTTATCCAGCTGTGTGCTGAACATTTTGTTCAGAAGGATCCTCTGAGAGACAGTATCAAAACCTTTACTGAAATTCAAAAAGATTACATCAACTGGCTTCCCTTGATCAGCTAGGTGGGTTACCTTGTCATAGAAGGAAATGAGGTTTGATAAGCAGGACTTTCCTCTCACGAAGCCATGCTGGCTGTGACCAATAACTGTGTTGTCTTTCAAGTGTTTTTCAATACCTCCCAGAATAATCTCCTCCATAACTTTACCAGGCACTGAAGTGAGACTGACAGGCCTGTAGTCTCCAGGCTCCTCCTTCTTGACCTTGCAAATCGGGACAATGTTCACCAGCTTCCAGTCAGCTGGGACCTCTCTGGATTCCCAAGACTGCTCAAAAATCATCAACAGAGGTTATCCAATGGCATCAGCCAGCTCTTCATCCCAGGATTCTGGGATGAATCCCATCAGGCCCCACAGATGGAGCAGCAAGCTCAGGGTCAAGTAGGAGTTGATCATTCTTGCAGTCATGGTCCTCCAGCTCAGAGCACTGAGACCCCCTTGGTCTATCATCCGTGTTGAAGACGGAGGCAAAGAAAGCATTAAACACCTCGGCTTTATCTCACTCTTTATCTTATCCCTGTTTGTGAGGTGACCGTCCTCATCTTGGAACCAGCCAATGATATTTCTGCCTATTGCCATTAATGTATTTGAAAAAACTTGTCCCCCACATTTCTGGTCAGCTTCAACTCCAGCTGAGCTTTGGTCACATGAATTTTCTCCCTACAGGGGCAAGCAGCATCTCTGAATTCTTCCCATGTCACTTGACCTTGCTTCCACTGGAGAATGTTAATAAAGAAAAGCTGTGGCTGTTTGGCACCTACACTAAGAACTAGTTAGCTGGTCATCACAAGCAGGAAGGAAATGGTAAAGTCTCAAGTGGTATATTTTTAAGTGCTTTAAGATGGCTTCTTCAACTTTCAATTAACATTAAGACCTGTGCTTGTTTTTAATTAAGTTTTATTTGACTTGCACAAGGTTAAGAGGGAACTGATGCTCTCTAAGTTTTGTCCTGTCACAATCCCTTCTCTACCCTTCTCTGCAGAGAATTCTGGAAAACCTCAGCTATAAAGCAGAGCATAAAATCTAATATTACTGTATTGTAGCACTGTCTTAGCCTGTGGGAATTTTCATAAAATAGTAATAAGCAAACAGAGCAGCCTGCAGTGATCTTTCTGTAGATCTTGTAAGACATACTTCCTTCATTTCCAAAATTATTGCAACAGGACATGATTTTTTTAGCAATTTAAATAGGCACTTAAGGTGACTTCTACAGTGCCAATCCCTTTCCTCCCCCCCATTATTTTGCTAGCAGCTGAAAATCCAGTCAGTTAGTTCTTCTTTTGGGATAGATGTTTCAGCTTGAAAGAAAGAATTACAGAAATCAGGATAAGATTTTCTACGTTGCTAGCAGTGTTAGAAGAGAAAACACAGCATTTTCTACAAAGCAAATTCAGAACCTGTCATAACCCTTGATGTTTAACTTTAATCAGAGAAGTAATAATATATAATTTTTAAAGAAATGAAAATTAATTAATAGGGGAAAAAGAAACAGTTTTTTCTCAAGTAGATTGCCATTTCTTGGACAGGAATTAATGCAGTAGGAATTCTCAAATCTGAGGATTCATGAGCAGAATCAGAGCTTCCCATGAAAAACAGGAATATTTATCAGAAATACGTTGAAATATAAGTTTGGATTTGTTAGTATGCTTTTACTGGATTGTATTAGTAGAATACAAAGGAATAATATATATACAACGTATCCTGAAATCAATTTGGTACAGAATGTACAATATTGCAGACAGTACCTCCAGCTTTAGTCACATTTTTCTGCAAGGGATGATACCAGCACTAAAAACCCCAGACATGTCTTGGCCCTGTCTTTCAGTTAACCCTGTCATTAAACACAATATTTCCCCATGTATTCTATTCTGCATTTAGCTTTCTCATCCGATTGAGCTTCCTGCATTTCCCTTTAGAGACTGCAGAATAACCTCTTTAAATATCATTCATTACTAAAACATTCTTCTCCTCCATCACCTGAAAAAAAGTCTTTATCTTCTATCTTCTGTATTGCTAGTAGGGAATATCCATGCATAATCTATGTTTTTCTGGTAGAGATTCCTGATTTACTTTTTTGGTTACTACAATAACTAGTACAATTTGACACTTCATCAAAAGCAAGCAATTGAAACTCATCTTATGCATGTAGTCCAACAAGTGAGATCCCATAGAGAAAGAATAGTACAGACATGTTAAAGCACTTGCAGGACTATTGACCTAGTTTTTCATATCACAAGGAACTTCACAAAGTCTGATGTGCCACTCAAACAATTCTCTTTGCTTAGATGGTAAGAGATTGAAATTTCCTGAATACATATCTGCATCTTTTGAAAAACTTCCATTATCAGAAATCACTATATCCAGCAATATACCTATCCTAAGCAGGTAAAGTTGTTATGTTAGACACTATGTTAACATAGTAAGTTTATCAGGACATTTTGCTCTTTTTATTAGTACTTAAAAGAGTTGGGAATACTGAAAATCAAGTTGACCCTACCCAGGGAAATAGCAATGGATAATTTTACTCTAAGCACATCTTATTTATAGGCAGCCTTGCATATACACTTTAGTATAGAGACAAGTAATCACATACACTTATAAGAACTGGTTATATATTGATATAATAGACTGGCTATAACAGACCAGTCAATCAGAAAAGCTCATTTTAAACACGAAACTACACATAAGGCCTGTCATCAAGTGTTAAAAGTCTCCTACCTAATTTGAATAAATTAAAACCAAAAGACAAGTAAATCATCTCAGGGTTTGCAAGGAAAAAAACCCACTAAAACTATAAATATGATCATGATGTGTACATGATACCAAACACAGTGAGAGCTGTGAATGAACATTCATTCTTATTGCCTAGAATTATGAAAGTGCATTTCCAGCAGAGATTCTGCATACAAAATAAAGACAGTTATAAGATTTCCTTAAATTAGGCAATCTCAAACTATATACTTAAGAGTGAACCAAACAAAGAAGTGCTACTCAAGAGGATTATTCAGACTTCAGTAACAGATGGATTGAAGTAAAATGGTATCAGAGTTAACCTTTTGCATCTTTGCCATCTATCTTGACTTTGTCATCCTAGACACTGACTGCTCACAAGTACTGCATCATCATGCTAAAAAAAAATGTTGAACAGCCACTCTGGGGATGGGAGTGGCTCTTGAAAAATTATGTAAGGAAACATGCATCTCATGATGTCAACATAGGCAAGCATCACATTGCATTATTCTTTCATTATATCACTAGCATTTTACAGTTAGTTCTACACTGCCAAGTTTTTAATCTCACTTTGTGAGAAGTCAAGCCACACAATTAATTAGTTCCCCAATAAAAATAACATAAGTTCTTCATTATTGGTTCACTTTGAGCTCATACTGAACTTTCAAGCACAGCAATTTACCAACAGTACCCTGATGTGCTAACTATAAAGTTAAAATAAAGCATCAATGTAGAACCACACAGAAAAAGGTTTCTCTTATCTATGCCTCATGCTGCAAGCTTGACCTTCTTTAGTTCTCTACTGGGCATGTTAAGTGCCTGTTTGGGATGCTGTTATAGGGAGTCAAAGATGCAGATTTATATACCTTTCAAGCAGAAGAGGGATCAGAGCACAGACCTCCCACATTCTGAGCATTGCCAGCTCTGCAACCACATCTTTCTTTAATGAAGAATCTAGGCATCTAACTTACTACCTTCTTTTTGTGCATATATTAAACCAGTTCATTTTAAGAAGGTCACTACTTGGCTCAAGCTCATAAGCAGTCAACTTGCTCTTGAACTGTATTGGCCTTTTGGGGAGGGATAGCAGGTTGGTAAGTATTCTCAATGTTCAAAAGCATGCCCAGATCTAACTGGTTGCTAGAGAAGCAGAAAATCTTTTGTTCATCAGAACTAACATTTCACATTCGGAATGACTCTTGAATGTGTCCTGTACACCCCCATCCTGCAATCTTACAAAGGAAAATGTCAAGGACAGGTGCCTCAATTATTTGCTTCCACTAACTTTGACATTTAAGCTCATTTTTTGATTACAAGTAGAATCAATTATTTCTAGTACAGAGGGGTGAATTGCATCAACAAAGAAACTGCTGAAAAGGAAAGAAAGCATGATAGCAATCACAGTAAAGCTACCTCCAAAACTTGTTGTATTTGGTTATGAGAAGTGTTATGTTGTACTTGACTGCAGAGAGCTTATTTTCTTTTAAAACCACAATCCAGCTACACAAAATAGGAGCCAAGCAACAGCTCAAACACATCCTTCTCAAATATTGTAGAAGGGAAACACATTTTCTTGAGCGTTGTTTTTCCCCAGAAGTTTCTTAGAAAAGCTGAGGTCTAACACACATTTGAAATAACCTAATAATGATGCTTTCAAAACACAAGCTAAATAATCACACTCTTGGTTTATTGCAAACCAATTTGGATCCTTAATAAGTGGTCAGTGAATTCAACCAGGGCCCTCAACAGTAGCTTCTGCTGATACATGACTGAATTGTGCATATAGTGTATTTATTGTATAAAGAAACCCTATTTAACTCACTGGGATGCCTTTTTTAAAAAATTAAGAAAAATAAAATTATATTTTTGCCACAAATAATGGAAATCATTAAGTGCATAGGTACTAAAATTGAATGGAGAAGTTCAGTGTTAAGTTCAAAAGCCATCTGTTCTCTTCAGATAGAGAAATCTTTCAGATTGTCTCCAAACTTGGAAAAGAGAAGTCTAGATTGCACTGCAGAAGAGCAATTAGCAAAAAACATATAATGTACAGGCATCTCCACACTACTTTGTTTTCTCCACTAGTATAAATGTGCTCAGCTGTAAAGCTGTCAACTTGCACTTGATCCAACGCTGATCAAAAATCCAGACAAGCATAAATACATAGTACTGAGTCATGAAGTAATGATTTACAGAATTCTTTTTCCCAATAAACACATTGTGTTTATTGTGGATTCTTCCATTTCACTAGTGACTTTACATACTTAAAGATTGTCTTATTAATATTTTTATGTAATAACCATAGCATCAGCAACAAAAATCAATGCCTAGAAAAAGTGACTCACCAGCTTGTTGGCGTTGCTCTTCTCCACTTTGGAATGGGCTGAATTCATAAGTAGATACTTTGCTTTTCAACAACAAAGTCAGAACATTGTCCACCTTCTCTACAGAAGAAAACTTCAATGTCTACTTAAAAGAAAAAAAAAATTAGTGCATTTGTTGCATATGTATTTTCAACTTTATCCTCCAAGTGCTGGTGAATTAAATTACTCAAAACAGTACTCACTCTTAGTAAGAGCAGCATAGTTTTTGAAAACTATACAAGGGATATTCTAATATAGAAGAATCATGACAACATGATTCAACTGCAGAAAAACATTTATAATAACATAAGAAGTTCAGCCATCACTTAAAAACGTCTGGATGAGGTACAAGGATTTATGTTGTACTACAGTAGTAATTCAGAATGAGTTTATAGTAACTTTGTTACCCAAAACCTTTACATTAAGATTGTGGACTTGTCTAGGTAGGAAACAGCTTCGGTTCCATCAGCCAAGGCTTAACATTGCTGACAGAATAAGAAACTGATATCAACCAGATAGATTAGTTTACTAATAAACACATAGTCTTTAAACAAGGGAAATTCTCACTCACTGCCATGAGATCTTTTTTGGATTATCTCCTCCTGGACAGAAGGCCAAGATCTATTCCTAATGACTTTCAAGGTAGCCATAATTAAGTATTTCTTTGCTTGGCATGACAAGAAAAGCACAACTACAGTGATCTGAACAGTAAGGACATTTTACACATAGTACTACAGTGCTAGTCCAGTCTGTGCTGCACCAGGCACCAAAAGTTGCTCAGCCACAGCAGACAGACACGTGAGGGGAGTTGGTTTACTCTGCTCAGATGTGAGCAGCCCTGCATTAAAGTTTGCCTTCCCACAGTTGAACTGTTTCTGGTCAAGACAATTTGGGGATCACTAAAAGGGAACATCTGCAGACATGCTTAGCATATGAACTTAAAAAGAAACTCTGTGACTGACACGCTGAGGAGAAAAAGGACAGAGGTGTCTACTGAAGAAACATGAAGTTTAATTCCCAAGGCTGTTAAAAGGGAATGAGAAAGTAAGTATGATGTGACCAGAAAATGTTGAATGCACAGGTAGGATATAATTTTCATCTGATTCCTACTCAGAATTAGAAGTCTGTGCAGGTAGAAAGCTAACAATATGATTGTTTATTTTTCCCATAATTAACCGCGGCCCTTTCAATATTATGATACATAAAAACCATCATATTTCTTTTCATAATTCACTCCCTTTCTGTACTATATGTACAGAATGTACTGTCATATTACATTCTCTGTATTTTTTTATTCAATAATGATGAATGCATAAATTAATCTTTAATAACCAAAGCAATAAACATTTAAAAAAGTCTCTGCCTAGGAAAAAAAAATCTTTAAAACTCGTTCTAGAATAAAAATTCAACCTGAGTACCAGAAAGCATGTGCAAAACCTCCCAAATATCTATAAACCCCCCAAACTATTAACATGAATAACAACATTATATTTACAAATTATTAAGAAGAATGAGGAAGTTAAGAAACCATACTATTCTCTCTTGTTCCAAGTAGGTCTTCTTAGATATGGTATCTTCATTGGTACTACCTTCATAAAATTCAATCTAGAGTAGGACAAAACCAAGTAACAACACAGGAACTACCTCAGATGAGTGTATATGAAGATATTGTGTCATAAAGAAAGAGGCTCAAAATCACTGGTATTCACTGAAGCAATTATATAGCAAAAATTCCAATATATAGAGAATAAGAATTTAGGTGGGCTTCTAGACAAACTAAACCCAAAGCAATATTTTTACATCTCCATTTAAAATGGCAGGGACATCCCTTACACATTTTGCTACCTATCTAACTTTCTCTGATAAAAAAAAAAAATGAACAAAACAATTAAAAAAACACCCCAAGAACATCTGTATCCAGAGGAGCATTTTCAGACAGAGTCCATTTCAGACTTGTCTTGTATATCAAAGCCAAATAAATATCCCATAGTCTCTTTTCAGCAAGCACTGAGTAATCTTGCCTAGACAGTTCTTCTGCTTTTTAATATGAGCTGAGGCAAGAACCTTTCCTTATTCCTTTTATTCAGTCAGAAATCTAGGGGAGGAGTACCTTAAGAATGCATAGCTCTTACTTCACTCTCAGACAACCAAATTTACATGGAATAAAACAATGTTGCACAACCTGAGATGGAACAAGTTCTTGAACTGAGAAGTGCACACAACTTCAGGAACTTGCAGTAAAATTTTTAAGGCCGCACACAGTTGCATAGTTTACCACATCAGGCTAGCTTGGCTTTTACAAGCTGTTGAGACAGATATTAGGCTGTGTGATCTCCCAAACTAAACAGATTAAATTAGAGCTAAATTTCTCATACCTTAACAGGCCTTCCAGCCTATCCATTTCTATGATTTCCAAGTTAAGCACCATACACTTCTTATAGTTACCAGTGCAATTTTCTTCAAGTTTTCCACCTCAATTTTTTTTTTTCTCTTACTCCAGGGATCTAAAATCTGAAGACTCAAGCACTGATTTAACAAGCTACATTGCTAACTAAACCATAACAAGTAGCTCTTTTCTGCTACTCTACAACAAAGACATAAAATGAAAATCTAGATTAATTATTAAAAAAACCCCAACCAAACAAAAACCAAAAAAACCCCTCCACAACAAACTAATAAATCCATGTTAATGTCTTTTATATCACATACAGGAGAGCCCATTTCAGTACTTGTGTGAAGCTAATAGTAGAAACAACAGTGAAACAGAACTATGAATAGGACCACTGTGCACTACACAGCTCCATACCAACATAAAGGTCACCTCCCCAGGAAGGAATTCAGTTTAGAGCCTTTTACTTTACTGCCCATTCCTGCTCCAGATATCTCACAGACTCAAACTATGCTGCACTTACATATTTTAATATACCCTACATGGCTCTCTATAGGACTGTCAAATCTTCCCCAGAAATCTCACCAAAACTACAAACCTAAAGTTCATGTTGAAAGTTCACCAAAGCCAACAGAAGTAGAATGGTATTTAAAATTAAGCCCTGCAAGGGAACACTGACCCAGTCAGGAGTTTGAGGAAGCCCATATTTTATCTGAATAAAGACCTACAATGTGACAGAAAAGAAGTAAAAGCACTACTTCCCCCAGTGTCTTTGCAGCCACTCAGAATTAAGCTAGTGAGTTTGTAAGCAATGCTTCCCATGGTCTCTGCAGCACAGTCAGCTGTTCTCTGCTTCACTCTTGGAGGTCTGGAAGCTTGGTCCTTCTGCAAACACCACTACTTGCTCCAGAGCTCGTCACCAACAACTTAACTCAGTAGTACCTCCCCAGGTGTAGGCACCATCTCCCTTCCCTCACTCCTTTTCAGAGCAACGGGACACAGCTGTGAACCGAGAAGCCCCAAGTGCTGACCATCACACTTGGACTTCCAAAAACATCCTTGAAAAAGGAGACCAGAACATGTTTTGCTACTTTTGTGAATAAGTCTATCTACTTTCTTTAGTAACTGCTCATCAAGCCCTGAAAATCTGTGCCACTGAAATGCAGCATACACAGCCACTAAATTAATGTATTCCACACTGGCTTTAGCAGTACTAACAAGGTTACATTTACATAAAGATGAACTTCTCCAGTAGTTCTTACATATCAGACACTACTTTATATGCACTTCCATATCTAGATTACTTCTGCCAAAGAGAATGGGCTAGGTTTAAAAATCACTCAGGCATTTCTGACAATTTTAGGCAGTGATAGAATATGGAGAGCTTTCATACCTAGAGGAAAAGAAAGAAACCTTTTAAAATAACAGCTGCTGACGTGGCTGAGAAGATTGAAATATTAAATACAGTTTCAAAGGAAGTATCGCCACATAAGTCATATAGCTTTTTACAAGTTTAAAGGCTGCAGTTTATTTTCATTCTTCTTTTCCAATATGCACCGTAACTGGAATCCTGTTTGATGACTATGATAAAAACATCATCTATGATACCAAGTATCTCATAATCATAGGAGTATTATTCAACCAAAGTTTGTCACAAAGACTTCCTTAATCTCTCCAGATATTCTAAGTCACTCAAACTAACACGAACGTAACAATTTCAGTAATAAGGATATTACCTTGTTTCATTTTTTTTTTTAAACCTAATAAATTTGTACCAGTAAACTCCAACACTAAATAACTGAACCAATAACTCCATTTGGTTGAAAATCAGATAGAAAAAACAATGCAGCATGTAAATCCAGCATGCTGAAATAAGAAGCTGATGAGAAGTAAAAAATGAAATATGAAGTTTAATTATGAGTTTTAAGAACCTTAAAATCAATGTGTACATTGGGTTACTGTGAGAACATAAACTCCCTAAGAGTTTCTTTAATGTAGAATTATATAAAAAGGAGAGAACCAAAAATCACGGCCCTTAGCCAACCTGCACCCTCCTATATTCTTATAGCAAGGTCATTTAGCATTATGATTCAGTTATTATGATCCCAACTCTTCTTACTTTACTATAAAATTTCAGGTTTTTTCTTTTGAAACTTATGCAAAGAAACTTATTTAATTTGCTTTATGTATTTCATTACATTTTAAATATTTATTTGGTTGCTTAAAATGGCTTGCTGATACTGGTAAATGTGTTTTAAATTCAGACAAATTGGGAACACAGAAAATTACAATCTGTCAGAGGTAGCAAAGAATTTTATCCAAAGCCATAATTTCTAAAATCTTAGATAATGTTTAATCTAAACTTTAGCTAATGTCAATCTTTAATTGTTCTGCAAAACCAGACTCATAAATGCAGCGGTACCACACTTTGTTAGTCTCCCACCAAGATATAAGAACTGACCTGACCATTGGTAAAATGAATGGATAGCTGTAAGTCTATTTGTTGGGTTTTGTCTATCTGTTTGGCTTTATTGGGGGACAAAGTGGAACATCTCAAAGGAGCTGAAAAGGTTGGCAAGACAATGCAGAATACAATGAAAGCATTTTACCAAAGCACTGTGTCTTTGGTATGCAGTACTGTAGCAATTTGCTTTCATCACAGAATTTTAAAAAGGAGATACTTTTCAGATTGCAAGCACTTGTGAAAATCTTGAACTTTCCTTTGAACCACAGAGTGATATTGCTTTGATCAATAATTGCTGTAAGCCTTTCTATTTTATATCAGTTTTGTTTTCCATTGTGTTTGATTGTTACTTTGCATAGATAAACGCCTGTTGCCCCAGGATATTTTTGCAAATAAGCTGATAGTCTCAAAGGTTTTAATTATCCTGGTTAAATAAAAGTTACTATTACTCCTGCTACTTGATGGGAATTCTAATTAGTATCAAGTCTGTTTTGTTTTTCCTTTTGTGAACATATTTTAAAGATTAAGTTAAATTATGTTCTGTAAATTGCATCTTTATGATGCATCTTATTGACATTAAATCAGGTTAACATGAAAGCTTATTTAAAAAGTTTGTAGAAATATTTTAGCTGCCTAGCTAGTTAGTGTACCTCACTCTGTGGCTCAGCAGGTACCATTAAATATGACAAATTTTCCAACACATAGTACACTTACAGAAGAATTACCATTAGTATACCTTGCCACAGACTAGCCCTGATATCGCGTGGACTGTAGAACTTACCCAATTATAAAAATTTTCTTGGCATTAATTTTCAGTTACCAAAACAATAAAAATGACAGCAGATAAACAGTGTCACCTCATTTAAACTCATGCTTATTATCCAGATGAGTAAAGGTGAGGAAATTGTTAAACATAACCAATGGTCATAATACTACAGCTGTATTACCTGGTGTGCACTACTGCTCTGCACAGAATTATTTTTGCATTTGAATATGATTTGAATTGCATGTGTTTTACTAAATATTAGTCATGCTGGTTAAATGAAGGGTCAAACTCCTGAATAACACAAATAGCTTTCCAGTGGAAATAGCATGTGTGCTTTAGATATCTAGGTTACCATGTTAATGACAATTTTTTTATATCATTATGACACACTTCTTATGCATAAAAGTTTAAATGAAAATGTGTTAGAAGCTTACTTTGATATAGTGCAAAATACAAGCTAAAGAATGACAGATACTATAAAGAATTTAAGAACCCATTTGTACTTTGAGTTGCACTATTTTTCTTGTGCAACAGCCTGTTTTCTTAGAACAGAAGTAACTTGTACTTGGAAGGAACCTAACCCCATCCTTAATAGAACACTAATAATGCAATACATCATTTTTATTAATCCCTTTGTTATGAGTGTAATGCCTTAGGTGGTGCACAAGGTAGATTTGTCACAGGAAAATGAGACTGTCTGCACTGGAAACGCAGACTATTATTTTTGTTCTGGCTTTGCAATTACAATATAGACATTATGACAAGTCTGCTTGGGCTACCCACCATTCAACAAATGATACTTGAGATTCCATCCTTTCTCAATATATGCCTTCTTTTCTTGCTATTTCTTACGTGCCACTGGCAAGGAACAGGCTGCAGAGCACTGCAGTCTGCTGTGCTGATTTGAAACCCAGCTCAAAACCTGATTTTTTTCTAAATACATGCAAAGAATCTGCATGGCAACCGGCAAGCAAATCACGTGAATGATAATAGAGCAGCTGTAAATGGACTCTATATGAATAGCAATCTACTGCCTCCCATACAAGCTATGCCAGAAAAAACCCATTTGCTGGTGAATGAATAATAACCCTTCTAATACAATATGGTTTAAGATTACTTGCTTCTACCGGTTTTAGAACATGTGAAAAATAACACTTTAAATGGAGAGGGACTTCACTAATATTTGTTCTTATTTTCATCCTTCGTAATGCAGCACGTTGTACACTGGGCATATACATAGCACAAAGGATGTTTATATCACTCTCTAAACAAAAACAAGAAAAGAGGAAATTTGTTTTCTCTTGCCTGACATGCTTACAACTAGACATCTCGGAGACAGGCCTCTTAATCCTGAGCCATTACTAATTACTGTGTAATCAAAAGATTGCATATTATCTCAGTTCGTGTAAGCTTACATTCTATTTTTCTTTAATTAAAAACTGAGAAGTCTACTTACCTGACAAGTGAAAGCTATTGGGTCAGCCACCTTCTTTAAAATGGGCTCAATCTCCTCTAGTGCAGTGTAGTACTCAATGTGTGCTGTGGTCTTAATGACTCCCCCACAGTAGACATTTACATATACAGGGCCAGCAGGAAAATCTTAAAAAACAAAAATCAGAACAGTAGCTGAAGATATTTTACAGTCCCAGACCAGAGATCTCAGGGAATGAGTAAAATAATAGGAAGATATAAAAGAAAAAGCAGAGTTGATGAACTGGATTTGCATTTAACAGGTGATTCAGTGTAGTCCATTTTTTATTCAGGTCTTTCAGTCTAACAAAAGAAAATACATATTTGTAAATATGTATAAAGCAAAGCTGTTCTACTGCTTCACATTAGAAAGGAGATGAAACCAGAATGCTTAAAATTTCCAACTTCCCTTCGTACTCTGATGACCTATAATCAGCTCCCTTACGCCTACATATTAAGGAAAAGTTCATTTATCACAAATAGTGTAATTGCTATTCATTTTTTGAAACATTTTTCTTAATTGCAGTCAAGGTTCTCAAGATAGCATTTGAGCTAGGCTAAAGAAATCGCAGTATAATTAATTAATTCCATTCCAGTTGTTTACCTCGTAAAAGCAAAAGGAAAGAGGTATTCAGAGTCTGTTACTTAAGTATGACTTGCTTTGTGCAGGCAGCACAAGCCTACTTTATGAGCACATTTCCCAATTCATTAGTATTCATTGTGCTAGACGTTCTGCTGGACCATACTAGCACAGTTTTCTTAAAATACTAACTCTGCCTGCAAAACAGTGATGAAAGGGACAACCCTGAAAATGGAGAAGAGTAATAGGGCCAGAGTAACTAATCTAATAGAACATCATGTTAAATCACTTAAATGGAAACTGACCAAATGCTTTAAAAAAAACCCAAACAAACCAAACCAAAAACAACAAAAGAACATTTTTGTGAACATCAGATCAGCTGGACCAGAAAAGGATAATTCCAAATTTCCAACTCTTCCAGACTTTTAAAGGACATTAATTTAATAATGAATTTATCATTAAGGACAAATGATATAAAAATTAAACTTGGGCTACAGCTCTCTGCAATTTTTTTTCATATTTCATTTACTGTTCATATTTTATTATTCATCCACTAGAGAAACCTTCTTGTGATCAACAATGTTCTCACAAAGCAATTTTGGAAGAATCTTTTAAGATCTGTGAATGAGGATTTCAGCTTTTGTTCTCTGAAATCCAGTTACAGATGAAACCTACCTGTTGGTTATTTACTTCTCAGGTTGCTAAAAACAAACTATCTGCACCATCACAGCGATAAAGACCTTTCAGGTCATGTGTGACCATCATCCCAGGACAGTGCTCAGGATGAAAATCACAGAATCATTTAGGTTGGAAAAGATCTTTAAGATCATTGAGCCCAATCTTTGACCGAACCACCACCTTGTCAACTAGACTTGTCACGTCCAGTCATTCCCTGAACATTTTCAGGGATGGTGACTCCACCACCTCCCTGGCCAGTCCATTCCAATGTCTAATCACACTTTCTGTGAAGAAATTCCTCCTAATGTCCAACCTAAACCTCCCCTGGTGCAGCTTGAGGCTAGGTCTTCTTGTCCTGTCAGTGGCTACCTAGGAGAAGAGGCCGACCCTCAGCTGGATACCAACCTCCTTTCAGGTATTTGTAGAGAGCAATAAGGTCTCCCCTGAGCCTCCTTTTCTCCAGGCTTAACAACCCCAGATCTCTCAGCTTCTCATGTGATTTACTCTCTAGACCCTTCACCAGTTCTGTTCCCTTCTCTGGACTCACTCCAGCATCTCAATGTCTTTCTTGCAGTGAGGGGCCCAGAACTGGACACAGGACTCGAGGTGTGGCCTCACCAGTATTGAGTCACAGAAGTCATCAGGTCATAGAACTACCCAAACCTAGCCCCAAGAAGCCACCGTGGAAAATTGTAGCTTATATGTATGTATTTCCTCCTATCTAATGTTCTGTTGCAATCATTTTAGAATAAAATATTATGTAAGTTCCTTTGGGAATTCACAGTATGCAGTGCAGTAGCAAACTATACTCTAAAGCCATAGGCAAAAATTTTTTTAATTCTTAACTCACATCAAAACGGTGGAGACAGGTTTGGCCATTAAATCTGCACAGATCTAAGAGAAATTGTTGTTAAATAAGTGAAACTGTTAACAACTAGTTATGGATGGTGCAGTGGAAAAAAATCATTAGAAACCTGCAAAGCTGAGAGATACAGAGAAATGGCATGAATATGAACAAAGAAAAGAAATTATTTCCTGCATCAGTAAGAATTATGGAGAGGAGTATAACCAAATTTACTGCATTAAATATAAAATGAAACATTTCAGTAATGGAGTAATAAGAAAAGAATATTAGCTTTGCATTTTATGGCAGTAATTTTGAAGAATATTAATCTGTAACTAATCAATGACATTTTAAGACTGCCACCTGCCATTTAACAACAGAAAACCAACCTAAGAGAACCTAGCTTCCCATAAATCACAAGGCCTTGCTTCTCTGCATTATTAATAAAAGCTCTGTATGCAAAACTCATGTACAGGAAACACCTACAAAATAGCAGGAAGTGAAACTACTTATCAGAAGAAGTGAAAGGAGTTGAAAATTTTCAGTTTACTTAAAGGTAAAGAATACTTTTCTTACCTAGGGCTTTTACGTACTTGACCTTCTTATTCCAAGAGGCTGTCTGTGTTCTAATTCGTCGATTATCTGATATGAATTCAATTTCTAGAGTTTCATCATCTATTTCATCTTTCAACAGAATGAATATTTCACCAGGGTTCTATAAAATTAAAATGTGTTCCCATTAGTCCTTCAGAAAATTATACTGAAAATTTAAAATTATATTGAAAGTGTATTGAAAGAACTTTCCTTTACCAACACCTTCATGTAAAAAAATCATACTACCAAAACATGATGCTATCTCTAAATAATAGATAATAATTAACTAAAAAATACCTTTAGTATTTTACTGACATAAATGACACAATTAATGTAGGGTTTTAAATTCAGCTTACCTAACAATATCTTGAAACAGTATTTTAAATGCATATGTAGGTGAATTGTTACATTTTCTAAGGCCACTCTATAGTCTAGGAAAATGATATCTATAGTCTAGGAAAATGATATCCATCCTAATAAGAACCTTAGAGTCACTTAAACTCTTACAGTGAGCTGACAGGAAGATAGAGGCAGCAGACGATGTGAGACAAGACCCCTCTACTACCTCCTGAACCAGAGGGAAAGTTACTCCCTTAGAACTGTACTGATCTCAACAATGAAATAATGTAAGTCATCGTTAAAAAACAGATAGCAAGCAAAATGAGTGACATTCCATGTACACTGCAACCTCCATATCTGACCATGGCCACCCATTTATATAAAGGAATGCAGTGCTGGATTTTGTACTTCCTCTGTTTACACTGTCACATATTTCTTACAGCAACTGATTAAAAACACATATGAACATTTATGTCCATTGAATATGCATGCAGATACATATATATAAATATTTCTGATTTAATTTAAAGTCACACTAGGTACATGCTCACACAAGCACTTGTGTAATTCATGGTATGGGCACATATGCACATACCCATACACCCATCATGGATTCTCGCCAAGAGATACTGCATATCTCTCAAGAAGTACCTGACTACAAACTCCCTCTAAACTATAAGGCCCTCATGACAGTAATACTTCTACTCAAGCTGCCAAATAAATCTAGTAGAGCTAAAATACCTCAGAGGCTATCTCCAAACTATTTTATTTGCAAATCTTTTGACTGCAGTGCGGATGTGACACAAAGGCAAAATAAATCCCACTGTAGTCTCAATGCACTCTCTTTTTGGCCCCTTTACAATTTTGAAAACAAATAGCAGATATAGTGTGAATGAGATTGCAGAAGGAAGAGGAGACGAATGTTGACCGTTATCCCAAAAATTTTAGCATCTAAAAATCTTACCTCACATGATACTCTTCTTGGAAGCACCAATATCGACTGCTCCTTAGTTTTCAAACTTTTAGAAAGTACCTCATTTTTAGAACTGAAGTCTGTTGTTTCTGATGCTGCCCTGACATTTGACAAATTAATATCAGAGCTAGTCTGGTGATCTGAAATAAATAATGTGGAATGAGAACATTGTTAATAATCCAAAATCAACAAAACAGCAGTGATGTGTTTTCCAATTAATTACTCATATGGCATTTGAAGTCACATTAAGGGCACTGCATGAAAGCCTGGGAAAATTCCTTTAATATAAGTGTGATGAGGTGTCCCCCTTTGACAAAGAGCTTGCCTCTGAAGTTCTGATCCTGCAGCCTTAATTTATATGAACAGGCTCTGCTCATACGTTTGTCTTACTAAAACCAAAAGGGACACAGCCTTTAGATCAAAATCATTGTGACCAAGCAGGTCACAGAGATCAGCCAGTTTTGTAGTCTCAGAAAAACAGATTCTCATACACTAGGATAAAATGGGACTTTTACCACTCTTCCTTTCCCCATATGAAAACAAACACATGCTATATGTTTACAACATCTACCCACCTATCTGCAGGAAGGGTTAACAAGAGGGCAGTAATACCTGTGACCAGGTAAGTATGAGAGTAGGCACAGATTTCCTCCAGAGTCTTTGCCTGCATTAATGGACAAAATGATGGATGGAAGGCATACATTTTTTTAATTGGATAATCTGGGTTTGGAAATGCTATACCAGTCATACAAGTAGCTTGCAAGCAGGTTCTTTACTGTTTTGCTGTACCAGAAAAGGCTAAAGAGCCATTGTGAATCCTTCACCTTATCACAGAATTTTAATGATGAAATAGAACTGACGACTGCATCTGCAGAGCTCTGACTAAGCCTGTGTTTTAGCAAAGGTATTCTTCACACCTGCTACTTCTCAGCTGTGTCATTACTACTCCTTTCCAGACACTCTATTACCCTGTATGAAACACTCTCGCCACCCATCTCAAAGGACTGCAGTAGCTCTTCATCATGCAAGATTACTCAGTATACTGCAGTCACCTAGTTAGATTATTGATATCATTGCATGCAACTCAGAGTTAAAACCTTGACTGGCTGATGAGAAAATATCCTGAGAGACATCCACAGTATCTTGTATTACTGTAAATTATGAAACACTCACAGTCAATTACATTCAAGGATATGAAGAAATTTTCAGGCACATCTTTTCCTCTTAAATGGATGTAGAATATTACAATTAATTAGTGATGGGCAGAATACAGAACAGCAGTAATTTGGCTTTGCTCAAACAGTATCACAGCCATTTTGAGTTTTTTTGCAAAAGTGCCCAAGTGACTGAGGTACACAAACCACGCAGTGCTCCTAAGTGGCACAGAAACCTTTCTAGCCAGTGTAAATATTGGAAATTTACGGTTACTTTTCTCACTTGATTGCCCTTATTTTCCCCATATGCACCAGTTCATCTGATACAGAACATTCTCTTTCCTTACCAATCCTGCCTTGCTTGGATTTTAATAAACCACTACTATAGTAAATGTACCTGCTGAGTGAATTATTCCAGGGCATGCTATGTCTGATGTAGACATTTTTTTCCAGAAATGTGCTTTGATTGTTAGAGAGATCTCAGAAAAAAGGGGAAAAATAATAATAGAAAAGAAAAGAGAGTAATTTTTCCATGTTTCCTCAAGGAAGCTAAAGTTTCTTTGAACATCTAAGGTAGGTGGGTTTGGTGATAACCACTAGCTAGTAAAATCTGCCCAGCCTACTCCTGCTTACACTCTCATGCCTTTAAGGCAAAAAAATTCCGAATTTAAGCTGTGAATTCAGTGTAGATTGGTAAAATTACACTGATCCTATGTGTAGACATACTTTACGGAAGTAGTATTAATTCCATTTGCTTTGATTTATTTTAAAAGTTAAATAGGCTACACTGAACAAAGGCTATTTTGATTCCAAATGAGAGCCCACACACAGTTCAATGCAGTTTAATAATCCAGCTCAAAATATAAGTACATTAATTTCTCTGATTATCACTGTGAAGATGAGACTTTATTTAGCACCGCCCTTCAGAAAAAGGAAGTCCTGAACCCTCGCTGAGGAAAACAGGTAGGATATTTTACAGTAGCCTTACAGGGTCTACTAGAAAGATGGAGAGGGACCTTTTACAAGGATATATAGGGATAGGACAGGGGGGAGTGGCTTCAGACTCAAAGAGGGTGGGTTTAGATTAGATACTAGAAGAAATGCCTTACAGTGAGAGTTCTGAGACACTTGAATAGGTTGCCCAGAGAAGCTGTGGATGCCTCATCCCTGGGAGTGTTCGAGGCCAGGTTGGATGGGGCTCTGAGCAACCTGGTCTAGTGGAAGCAGTCCCTGCCTATGGCCAGGGATTTGAAACTAGATGGTCCTTTCCAACACAAACCACCCTATGATTCTATAATACTGTATACCCAGAGCACATACTTTGGGAATATTACGTGTTCACATTTTAAGTCACTCATAAACCTTACACTTAAGCACATAGAATTCACTTCAGAAGATAACTCATATGAGATGCACGCTGCTTCTGAAATTTTTTTTGGCCACTTTAGGCAAAGGAGTCTCACAGAGACAAGAAACCTTTCATTATTAGATTGACAAAATGAAAGGAATGAATAACAAATCTGGTAGGCACTGGATTCTCAGATGTCAGCCGTCTGTCAGTGATCGTTCTTTAAGGATCATACAGATGCATTCTAATCTATGTGAAGTTCATGACACCTTTATTTGTACAGTCTGCACTCTACTTATCAAAGATGATAAAGTAGTCACTTTTACCTTTTAATGCCAATAATTCATCTACTGAGAACATTAATGCTAGCGCTAATAAGTTGGTTTAAATTAGGATAACATTTTCCTCCCCTATTAATTGCATTTTAATATTTTTATTATGCCTTGTGATACCTAAATACAGTATCAGAACTTCAACTCAGTTGGTATTGGGATAGCACAGCTATATCAATAATAGACAAATGAAAAATTTGGCTTTTACATCAAAGACTTGGATATTTAAGAGAATTAGGGATTCCCCTGCTGGCTCTGAAAGTGGTTAGTAATTTATTAGCTAAAAACCATCAAGCAAGACCTCTTTCACTAAATGTCAGGTCCACCTGACAAACAATGAATTATGTACAACAGTCCAAGAACCACAGTGGTCTATATTATCACTACTGTATATTTAATAACCTAACTTCAGAGCCACCATCTCCGGCACTCAAATTCCTACCAGCAGGTGCATGCTATCTGTCCTAAAATGTGGAACATAAGCAACCATATGAAATGTCATCTATCAATGCTGAACAAGGAATACACCAGAGATTATGCAAGGCTTGGCTTGTTAGCATTAAGTGAAACAATGTAGCTCATAAAGGTATTAATACTACATTAATAAAATTGTAGTAACACAAACAGAGCACTTTAGACAACATTTGTTTCATGTGGGCAGAAGATGGTATCAGTCTTTTGAACACTTAAATTCTGGACACTTTCACTATGAATCCTCTTTACATTCTTGTTTTGAACCTGAAAGCAATGGCTAGGGAGCTCCATCAATTGCGGAGGCTTTAATAAAAATGGTCATTTAACAAGAATTTACAACTGAGGGTGAAGATTAGCTTAAAAGAAACAAAAAAGGAACATCATTATCATGCTGGAATATCTAAGAGAGAGGATTTATTAAAGGGTATTTGTTGCTTGGTGAATGTGTTCTTTTAATGTTTTATATAATGGTGACCCATCTGTGAGGTTTTTAAAATGTAGCAGTAATTATTAAAATAATGGATGAATAAAACCAGACCCTTTCTTGTAGGATCAAAGTATAAGAAATTATTAACTATATCTAATGATGCTTAGACAACATTAAGAGTTAGAAGCTAAAAAGAAAGGAAAAATCTATGATAATCTTCCCTTGAGTAATCAGGGCAGTACTACTGGGAATTATTATCTATTATAGAGGGTAATGCTTCATTTCCATCAGGTTACTTTTGTTGGCTTACTTTGACAAATATCTACTGCTTATGGTCACACTGAAAGGACTGATCTTAAATTTAAGTTAATTTTAAATAGTAATATATTACACATGTTTACTGTAACAGCTATTCACTTAATTTGGGACAGTGCTGATGTTTTAAATTTCACTTCAATATTCTCTCCTAATTCACATAACTTCAATACATCAACTTGGTATCTTTTACACAAAACCCTTTGGAACACATTATTGCTTTCAATTTAACATTTTAAACTAAATTCATTACATGACTTTGAAATTGCATTCCTTTACATAAACTGAGAAATTTTAATAAAGCCTCTCTAGTCTCCTGTGTATTCAACAAGTAATGCTTCACCATGCCTTCTAAGCAACTTTCCTGCCAAGTCCAATCTTCCCCTTCCCCTCCAAATTCTAACACTTCGAATACACTCTTTAGCTATCCTTACTGCAGCCTACATGAGAATTGTAAGTATTCTCTGTCTTTGTTTACTTGGTACTTGCTACATGTTTTCAGTCAACAATGTATGTGACAGATTTAGGGCATTAAAAATAGCAGAAAACAAACTTATGAAAGATTTATGTGTTTTCTAAGGCTACCCATGGAATGAATCTCTCGGTCAAAATTAAGCTGGTTTTACAAAAGCAAAATGCCTGATAGCTTCACAAATTTCAGTTCTTCCTCAAGACTTGCTAAAGCAATGCTAGCTGGAGAACTGAAACTGTGTTAAAGAAGAGGTCCCCAATTAGCCCTAGATCACACATCATACAAGAGGATGAGAAACATGAGCAAATTAGGTTAGGCAGATGACAAGAAACGGAAGGGTAAATTAGCGCATGTGGCCAACTTGCCACATGAAAGAGAAGATAGGGTGTTCCAGTGTCAAAGATTAAAATAAAGAGCATTACAGTAGATCATTTAAGTCCAGGAGTCATCCCATCTTATATGGTAGGCCCACTCTCCAGCACAACATCAGGTAAAAGCAGAGGCAGTCCCACTGGGTTCTGTGAGGTAAACTGAAAAGGTTCTCATGCATAAGTGACCTCCTTGCAATTCAAAAGCCTGAAGTCAAACACGTGTCAATGCCTTGAGGAAATATAGATT